TGCCTGCCTCTCTGCCTACTTGTGACCTCTCTGCCAAATAAATAAATAAAATATTAAAAAAAAAGACTCTTGCTCACTGAGAAGAGACAGAGCCAGAACTACTACGGTGGGAGAGGCAGGTGAGCCCCAAGAGGCACTTCCCTATTCCAAGAACCAGGGGAAGCCACATTTCAAAAGGCTCATCCAGTCCGTTCCAAGGCCCTTATCCTCATCCTAGAGGCAGCTCCAGGCAGCAGCAGCCACTGTCTGGGGAGCAGTGGGGGAGGTGAAGAGTTCACTGGGCCCGTGGGCTGCGCTGGCCTCGGGCCTCCCACCCAGCCCCCTTGCCCTGGCCCGGCCCACTGTGGCCACATAAAAGGTGACGGATGGTTAATGGGGGAGATAACGGGATTCATAAGGGAAATTTATCGGTCACTCTGGTGGTATAAATATGTTTACAGCAGACCAAGGGGAAATGAAGAAGCCCCAATAAATCATTGTGAAGCCACCAGCCACTAATAGGCGAGCAGTCGCGGGGAACCCCGGCATTGGTGCCTGTAGACACCCCCCACTGACTGCCCGCTAATGGCACAGCAGGGCTGCAGCCTTGTCAGGCCAGACGCCCAGCCCATGCCATGCGGGGCACAGGAAGCCACAGGCTGCCTCTGCTGGACCTGAGTTCCTCTGCCCACCATGCCACCATCCCTTCAGTAGACCTGGGCTCATTCAGACTGGAAGGGCTGAGAGAACAGGGTAGGGGACACACTGGGCCTAGTCTGGGAGGTCCTGCAGCATACCAGTTAAGAAAGCTCCTGAGTCAGACCTGGCTTTGACCCTTGAGGCTCTCGCTTCCCAATCCCGGCCTCTCTTCCTATTTCCCTTCCTGCAAAGTGAAAGTGGTTGGGAGGAAGATAGGGAGAATCCACGGAGCACAGCCCTTGGTACCTTGTAAGCCTCAATAAATAGTAGCCACTCTGATTCTCTACTTTCCCTTCTGGGAAAGTGCTGCGCACCTTTCTAAGAACATTCTTTCTAAGAGAATGTTCTTAGAAAGTGGGTAGCACTGTCCCCATGTTCTAGATTAAGGAACTCGAAGCTCAGAAGTCAAGGGGCTTGTCCCAGGTCACACAGCTAGAAGAGAAAGGCTTTATTTGATACTCCCAGCTCAGACTCTTCCCTCTGGCCCAGTTTAGACCCTGCTCCTTCTTCAGAGTTCCTGGGGGTTCCCTGTCCCCACCCCTTCCAGGAGAGGCCTACAATTCCAGGGACCTGGAAGTAGAACCCTGGGAGCTCTGGCAGCAACCTGCTGGTGCTGGGGAGCTAGGCCTCAGTTCCCTCCATCCCACCCACCACTAGCCTTGGTGCCCCCCTCCCCCTGCATAGCAAGGGCTGGACTCACCCCAGCACTGGGGTGGCTGGGAGCTTTCCATGTGATCTGTAGAGAGTGCTTTACACTCAGTCTTGCCCTCCAAACTCTGAGCCTTGATCACAGCCTCAGTTCAACCCACGGTCCCCAGCTCCCCTCACTCCCACATTCACTCATTCAGCAAATAACTTAGGTAGCTCTGCCCTTGCCACACTCAGGGTCAGGTGGGGAAGAAAGGCCTGGATCATGGAATAGCACGGGGTGTGCGTGGGGCTGAGGCAGGCACAGGGGTCAAAGTGAGCAGGAGTCCAGCAGGGTCAACAGGACTTCCAGGTCACACCGAGGCTGGTTTCACCATCGTCTCTCCATGCTGGGGCTCTGCAGACACCCCCAAGTCGGACTCTAACCTCACTCACACCGCGCCCGTTCCTCACCTGTCCCCCCTCTTCTCCTGATCACACTGGCCGGCTCACCTCCACTCTGGACAATGTCACAGCCTGCTCCCCAGTTTCCTGCCAAAATTATGCTCCCCACCTTTCCCCCGGGGTTGCAGCCAGCAGTGCAGTCTCCCCAGCCCTGGAGGGCTACGGTCCCCACATAGACTGGGGGAGTGGAAACTTGAGGTCCTGCCGTGCCCCCCCTTCAACCTCCCCTCATCTCTGACTCTCGGTAGAAGAGGGACCCAAGCTGCCTTTGCCTTGTCTGAGTCTCTGCCGTGTTTCTTCAGACCTCTGCCTCTCCTTCCCCTCCCAGTTCTGATCTCTCCCGGTCTCTGCGGGTCTCTGGCCCTCTCCTCCCAGTCTCTCTCCCCGTGGCTCTCTCCCTGCCGGTTTCTGGCTCCATCTCTCCCCGCCTATCCCTCCCGAGGCCGGGCGGGGGAAATCGCTCCGTAAATAGGCGGATGGCCCCGGGCGCTCCGGGCGCAGACACTCGTTTTTAGAGCCGGTAATTGACTCCTTTCAGTTGATAATTCATGGCTTGCATATGCGCTTTAATGCGGGCGCCCGGGGAGGCGCGGCGGGCGGGCGGGGCGGCCAGAGCGCCAGGCAGGCGGCGAAGCGGCCGGTGAAGGAGCCGGACTCTCTTGGCCGGGGTACGGGAGAGGAGGGGGCGCCTCTGCGGGGGTCTGTGGGCCCCGGCCACCCGACACAGCTCCGGGTGACGGAATTGGAGTGCGATGGGTTAGGTGGAGAGGCCGGCGGTCCCTGGGCCGGTGGGACGATGCAGGGCTGGCTGGCAGAGCCTTCCAAATGAAGAGGGGAGCGGGGAGACGCACGGATCTCCCCTTTCCCTGTGCAACCACTGAGGAAACAGGGGCCTGGAAAGAGGATAGCTCTTACCTGCATGCCACAGCACAGAAACAAGACCAGAACTCAAGGCACCCCCTTCCCCTTCCCAAAGGGTCCTAGCAGGGGGCTCAGGGCCAGCCTTTGTAGACACCCCCTCCTCTTTCCCAGCTAAATTCCTCCCCTGGAGTGACGGCCACCCTACTGCTCTAAGGCTCCTCCAGGAGGAGCTGGCTTTTCCTGGTGAACTCTGGACATCTGCGACTGACTCCTAGGCTGGGGAGGGGACCTTGAGTCCTCTCCCACCTGGCTGTCACTGTCCCTGGATCGGTCTCATCCTGTGGCTGTGCCTGATGTAATCACTTCCATCTCACAGAAGAAGCAGGCTCAAAGTAGCTGGGAGACTTCCCCACCGCCCCAGAGGAGGCTGAGCCAGAAGCTGGACCCCACAGGTGTGCCTTCTACAGTGGAAGTAGCAGCCACGGGAAGGGGAGAAGGAGGCGAGGCCCTGACCCCGGACATCCCATCCGCACCCACTCACGGCCTCAGCCACTAAGACAAAGGGCGCCGAGGAAGCCAATGACTTGCCCACAGTCGCGCAGACCAGGGACTGATTTCAGCTGAAGATGGTGCTGGTACGTTACAGGCCAGAGCTGGAGCTGGAGCTGGGGAGGAAGGCAATTGTTGACCCCAATTTCAGCTCAGGAGAAACAAGAGAAAGCCCAGCCTGGAGGGAAATCGGGCCTGAGGCTGGGCTTCCCATTAACTGGGCCTGCTTGGGCTGGTATCTGCCACTCTTTCCCTAGGCTCATTTCAGACAAGAATAGAAGTCTGCCCCCTATCTCTTATAATCTACTAATGTTTAAACGGCCAGCTTATTCCTATGCCCCCCAATCTCGGTCTCCCCGCCTCTAGTTTTCCCATCTGTGTTTAGACTGGGAAAAGACCTGGAGACAGTGCATCTGAAAGCTGAAAGCAAGGTCCCTGCAGGGCTGTGTAAAGCTCAATGCTGCCCCCTGGTGCCCAAACTGTTTGCAGCCTGTTGGAGTGAGGGAGGTGCAGAACTCACTCGAGGTAGAAAAATACCTCCGCACCCCAACCCCTTCCCCCTCCCCGCCCCCAACCATTTTCTCCCAGCCTCTTAGACCTCCCTCTTATGGGGGAGAGAGGACAGAGCAGAAGCTCTGCTAGCCCTGTGTGAGGAGAAACCATGAATCTCTTTCTCCAGCAGGGATCTCAGACTCAGTGGTAGAGCCTACAAGAGGCAGAGGCCCCAGTGAGGTCAGCAATGACCCTGTCTCATGTGCACCTGGACATCCCAGATGGTTCCTTCTGTGGTAGGTGGACTCGGGGCTTCCCTCCTCGTGCAATTCCTTCTTAGCTAAACCTCTCCGGTCTTTTTCTGCCTGAAATTCCATCATTTGTGTTCAGAGGAGGTACTCAACAAATGTAGGATGGATGGCCATACAAATGGCTGGAAGGAAGGGTGAAATCTATTCCTCCGCATTGAGGTTTTATCTCCAGAAAGTCTCTGCTATCAAGCACAGAGAGGAAGGAGTCCATTAGTTTGCCGAGCTTCCTGGAAATAGTACTGTAAGAGGAGTGAGAGACAGAAAGGGTAAGTTTTAATGGGGAAGGACCTCGAGAGAGTTCCTGAAGGGAAAGTCATGGGAGAGTTGGAGGGATCAAAGAAGGCTTCCTGAAGGAAGTGGCATTTGATGCAGGGCCCCAAGGACAAAGAAGCAGTGAAGGCATTTGTGTGGAGGGAACAGTGTGACAGAGTTACGGAGGCAGAAGTGCGAAGTGGGCTCTTGGCGGCAGCAAGGCTCCGGGTTGAGGGAACAGAGGGAGGTTACACTGTGGCAGAGCCCTGGCAGAGGAGGTCGGGGAGGACCTTAGGAGCTGCTGAGTGTCAAACCAAGAAAGGCGCTTTGCAGGCTAAGCACTGGATTATGAGCTTGGGTCCGCATCCCAACCCAGGATCTGTTCTCACGGGTTTCACTCCCTTGGACCCGCTCTTTGGAATTTTCTTTAGGGGGCAGTGGGAGCCATGGCAAGTTCTTGATCAGGGAAGTGCTTAGAAGTCACAGGTCACAGAACAGTCAAGTTGACAGGTACCATGGACCTCATCTAATCTAACCCTTTCAATCTGTAGATGAGAAAGCCGAAGTCCAGAAAGGCGAAGTAACTTGCCCAGTGTCACACAGCAAGCCAGGGCAGAGCCAGGACTTGGACCCGGGTCACCAGACTCTCTGTTTGGGGCTCTTTCCCCTCTGCTGCAATCTGGGATATCATCTGGGGGCACTGAGCTGGAGGCAGAAGTCCACCAGGAAGCTACACCCCCACCTAGAGCAGAGATCACAAAGCCGACCAGTCAGAAATGTTTATTGAGCCCTCACCCTGTGCCCCATCTTGGGCCAATCTGAGGAGTCCGTGTATTGAATACTCACACAGAAGGACAACAAAGCAAAGGAATCTGGTGGGCTTCTGGGAGGAGGAAACACACAGCAGATAGAGTATTCATGAGAAGGGGCATCGGGAGCAGACTTGGGTGAGGATGTAGGAAGGCCTCAGCGAGGAGTAGCCCATCACTCGGGTTCCCTGTGGTTCTTGGCCAAGGTCTCCACCTCCTTCATGAACCGGAGACACAGCTCTTCTTCCCATGGCAAAGCAACGCACTGCACAGCCACAGGAAGTCCTATGGATCCTTGTACTGCCTGCCCAGAGAGAAGGTAGATGGACTTAAGAGCCTGCCTTTCCACTCTCAGGCCCCATGCCCCGCCTCCTTCACCACTCATAGGCATTATTAGTTCAAACATCTCATCCCCAATCTATAATAAGAGAGAGATATCCTGGATCTCAGATCCCAGCCTTCCTCAGCTCTCAGTGAAACCTGAAAAAACTATTCTGACTTTGTCTATCTCTAATTCTCCAGGGTTAAGATGTAAAATTTGCTCCTTGTGCAGACAGCCAACTACAATTATGAAATAAAAAACCGAGTATCCACCCAATGTTCTCAGCAAAGGAATAAAGAATATGCAAATCCTGATCCCAAGCCTGGTCATACTTCCGCTGTGAAAAAGGTACCCTGACCCCAAACACAGACTCAGGAACATGGGGACTGAACCTGAGTCCCGGCTATGAAATCCAAACTACTTAGAGGCATTCAGGAATGTTTCCATTGTTTTATGATGATAAGATACAAGCCCTTATTGTCTTCGTCACTGGAGCCAAGTCAACCAGCTTGGAGTCCTGGCTCCCTCCACGTGACCTGCCTATGGGGTGTGGCAGCATGGTCGGTCAAGTCTCTTAACCTGTGTGCGCCTCCATTTCCAACTTCATAAAACCTCACAGGACAGTTATGGGATTTAATGATTTAATATATATACAGCACTTTTAAACAGCTCCTGGAACAGAGTAAGAGCTCAAGACACATTAAATAGTATCATTATTGTTATTTTCTCAGAATTCAGGTCAGCAGTTCCACTGGGTGACTCTAGCACTAAAACCAATTTCCAAAAAAGTAAGTTCCTTAATGTCTGACTCAGACACACACATACTTTTCAGAGTCAGTCTCTCTCTCTCTCTCTCCCCTTCTCCCTGTCACCCAGGACAAGGTTGTTATTTTAGATCATGCATTAAATATGCACATAAAAATATTTCCTTTTGTGAGCCGCTTCTGAATTAGTAATAAGAAGTATACACTTCCTATTTCCAAAGCCTTATACTGATTGCTTCACTGTTTTTCTTTTTTTTTTAAGAATTTATTTATTGTCTAAGAGAGAGAACGCACATGAGAAGGGGGAGCAGCAGGCAGAGAGAGAAGTAGGCTCCCTGCCAAGCAAGGAGCCGGATGTGGGACTCAATCCCAGGACTCTGGGATCATGACCTGAGCTGAAGGCAGACACTTAACCGACTGAGCCACCCAGGTGCCCCATGCTTCACTGCTTTTCAATTGAGCCTTTAGGACAACCCTGCGGGGTAGATATTTTAATTCCCATTTTCCTGGCAAAGAAGTTGAGGCTCAGAGAGGAGCAGGGTCCAGTCCAGTTCCCTAGTAAGCTCCTAACCAGGGGTATTGGCTCCACTCTTCCTGCCTCTGGGATCAACTTTCCCTAACGGAAGTGTCTAGAAGACCAGTGGTTTTGTATTCTCCCGGGGCAAGGACAGAGGCTGACTTGGAGCTCAGAGGGTGTGTCCTCGGAGATGGGGCGAAACCACGGTACAAGCAATAAAGAATAAACACTGGGAATGACTGACCCGACCCCACACCCACTCTCCCTGACCCCGATGGAGGCAAGACTCAGTCCTGGCTTGCGCCCCCGGGGGAGAGGCCTGGAGAGAGAAACCGACCTCCCGGAAACATCTGTCAGAAGTATCTTCGTAGTATCCCTTGTAGAAGACCAGTTCCTCCTCGTCCTGCAGCGTCACAGTGGTGACCGGCACCACGCCAGCGGGGAAGTTGAGGACGTTGTACAGGCTCAAGTAGGAGGAGACATCTGTAGGCAGAGCCAGGCAAGCGCAGATCAGCGGACAAAAGACAGGTAGGGAAGAGTATTGAGTGAGCGCCCCCTCTGAGGTCATTCTCGGAACTGCAGCCCTCTGGACTCGCAATAGCGCCGCGTTTGGGGCCGGGAATCCACCTGACGGCAGCGGCCTCCTGCTCTCCCCAGAGTGGAGGGAAAGAAAGAATGGTCGCTACTGAAGCCTTCCTCAGTGCCAGGCACTGTGTGGCCTCTCTCCACAGCGGATCCTTGAGTCCTCTCCACCCCTGTGAGGCGGAATTGACTCTTCGTGTGAACAATAAGGAAACCGAGGTGGTGGACCGTTGGCTGGTTTTTCACAGACCACACAGCTGATGACCGCTGAAGCGTGCAGGGAGGGTGACCCTGAGTTAAAAGGCATCTCCTCTACAGCAGCCACCTGTTTGTAGGGAGTGATGGAGGGAATGAGAAGAAGGAGGGAGAAGTAGGAGTGAGACGGAGGGATGAGAAGTTTGTAGGAAGTGAGAAGTCGGCCGGTGATGTCAGCAGATGCCGTGGGCGCAGGACCAGGTGTGGGATGTGCCTTTGGGCAGTCGCTGTGGGGAGACCCAGGGAAGGGGAGTCTAGGCTTGAGGTGGGTTTTCATTCTGCCTTGATAACACCTCTGAGAACTGCACCTGAGCTGGGCAAGGGCGTCATCTCAGGGGGCCTAGGCCAAAGCCACCTTGTGAAGGAGGACAGCAGGAAGCCAGTTAAGAGTGACTGTGTATGCCAAGTGAAAGAAGCCGGACACAAAAGCCCCCTTTCTTCTGATTCCATTTGTATGAAATCCTAGAAAAGGCAAGACTATAATGACAGAAAGAAGATCAGCGGTTTCGGTTTGCAAGGGAGGTGTGAACTGCAAAGGGCCATCAGGGAAATTTGCTGTATGATAAAAATAGTCTGTATTTTTACTATGGTGGTAGTTACACAGCCAGATGCATTTATTAAAATTTATCAAATTACACTCTGAAAATTGGTGGGTTTCATTGCATGTGAATTATATTTCAGTAGAGTTCGTTTTCTTCCTTTTTTTTTTTCCTTTTTTAAGTAAATTCTGTACCCAACATGGGGTTTGAACTCATGACCCTGAGATCCAGAGGCACATGCTCTATTGACTGAGCCAGTCAGGGGACCCTTAGTAAAATTCATTTAAAAAGTGAATGGAAATTGTGAGTGTCTGCTAATAGGTACAGGGCTTCTCTTCTAGAAAATGGAAGTGTTCTGGAATTAGATAGTGGTAGTGGTTTCATGGCATTCTAAATATATTCCAAACCACTGAATTGGACACCTTAAAATGGTGAAATTATGTTATCTGAATTTTACCTCAATTTAAGAAATTTTTTATTTATTTAATTTTTCAAAAGATTTTATATATTTATTTAACAGAGAGAGAGCACAAGCAGGAGGGGAAGCAGGCAGAGGGAGAGGGAGAAGCAGACGCCCCAATGAGCAGGGAGCCCCATGCAGGGCCCAAGCCCAGGACCGTGGGATCATAAGCTGAGCAAAAGGCAGATGCTTAATGACTGAGCCCCCAGGCACCCCAAGAAATTTTTTTTTAAGTAGTGAATGGTGACAGAGGTCAAGGCCAAAGAAGCTGTGGCAGGACTCTGGAGTCCTGGACTCCGGTTCTCAACCCCACCAGGACCCAGGTTCCTCTCACCTATTGTAATGTTAGAATAGCCTGTACAGAAGGCAGGGGCCAGAACTGGCGTCAGCAGTACATCTAGATCCAGGGACCTCCACTTGGCTATGAACTCTTGCTTATATTCCTGCAGGGACAGTGGTGGAGGGAGGGGTAAAACCAGCAGAGGTCACTGTTTGCAGAACAAGGTCAAGCACTACCACGCCCAGTGGCATTAAACCTCAGAAAGAATTCCCAGGCTGTGAGATGCAGATTGAGATACCTGGAGGGAGAGGTGGGGGGGAGGGTCAGGGCCTTCCCAGGGGCTGAGGTGAAGGGATGGGAAGGGGAGTCTTAGGCTGCAATTATCTGGGAACAATATATCATCCTAGCCCCAAAGAGATGGACTAAATTAACCTCCAGGTCACCAAGCCTCCCCATCCAGGTATAGCTGGGCCTCCCCTGCAGGCCAGGCCAGAGCTCTGCCCCCCACCCCCATCCCCCAATCTGGCCACTCCTGTCACCACCCAGGTCTCTGCTGCCCCTGTTCCAGCGGTCCCTTGAGGTCGCTTCAGGCACACATCACCTCCACAGCTGTGTGACGCTCCCACAGTTTCTTGGGAATCCTGGGGGAATAAATAAGAGAAGTCCAAAGATCAGAATGGGAGGACCCCCTTTTATACAAACGGGGACATTTCCATGGAGAGCTAGAACCTAATCTCCATGTGGGCTGCAAATCAGCTGATGGGCCAGGAATGCCCCTGTGTCTTGTTCACTGACCAGAACACCTTGCCTGTCCAGTGCTCCCAAGAGTCCACACCCTCTGGTCAATGCCCCACCAGCACCACCACCAGCCACAGGGACTCACAGGCTCCCCCCAAAGCCACAGTTTCTTCCCCTAACCTGTGAGGTCCCCACTCAGCCCTCAGGCCACTCCAGCCCCAATTCCAACCCTAATCCCAACCCTAACCCAAACCCAATCTCAGCTCAGGCCCAGACTTTACCCCAGCCTAAGCTAATTCCAGCCTGAACTCAGAGATTAACTCCGAATCAAACCCAGCCCCCAAATAGCCCCAATCTCAACCCTGCTCAAAAGCATAAATTTAACCAGTGTCAGACATGACCCTAAAAACCTAATTAGATCCTAAAGCCTAAATAGCCCTTGCCCCCAGTGGATGCCAACTCTAGCCACATGGCCTTTGCTTAATTCCCCCCACCCCATGGAAGACGCTTGTGAACGTCACTGAGGACACTAGCACTCACCCCACGCCATGAATCTCTTTCATCTTCTGGCTAGCTCGGGGCTCCTAGAGAGGCGGATAAGAGAGACCCATTCAGAAACCACAGGGCAACACCTGCCTGCCCAGAATCGGGGTCCGGGAAAAGCAACTCTATTCAGCACACTGACGTGGAAGCTTCTACTCCTTTCCAGCCTTTAGCCCCCCACCCTCTCTCTAAAACCCCTTCTTCTTTCTGAGATGCACCCCTCTCTCTCTGAAAGCACCCCTCTCTTTTGGACCCCATCAGCCCTTTCAGTTCCTCTTCTCTGAGCCCCCACCACTCTCTGGGCCCCATTCTGAGTCCTTCTCCTCTCTGGGCTTCTCCCCTCCGGAATGCCTCCCACACTCACTGAAGGTCCACACTCACTATGTACTTCAGGATACGGGCCAAGAAACCCTTGAGTGGGCCTGGCAGACGGAGCAGATTGACGGTTGTCTTTATGCAAGGGTCCACAATGTCCCCCTCACTGAGGAGCCACAGACACGTATCCAGTCAGTTACAGTCTTTCAGCCATCGACCGGCCCTCCTACCTACCCAGCTCCTGCTCCGGAGGGAAGCCATGGAAGGAGGTGAGACCAAAGAAATGCATCTGTTCCCACCAGCACCGCCCCTGGAACACGTGCATCCTGGAGACGGAGCCCAGGTTGCTGACTTCTTGTTTAAGGTCACACAATTAACCAGAGGCATCCCAGCAGCACAGGCCCACAGAGCCCCTTCCTAGGGCTCAGGGCACCACCATCCCCGTCCCCAGCCCCATGCCCGACATCTGAGTCCCGACAAACATACAGCTTTTCCAGAAGGGTGGCCCCTCCATCGCCAAACAGACCTCCCATGAACAGGTGTTGGACAGCATACTCTATACGGGGGATGGAGAAGGGGATGATCTGGGGAGACAGAGACTGAGTCAGGGCCTGGAGTGCTACCCACCCCACCAGGGATTCTCAGCATCCCTCAGGACTTTTTAAAAAATTATTTATTTATTTATTTGACAGAGAGAGAGAGAGAGAAAGAGAGATCACAAGTAGGCATAGCGGCAGGCAGAGGGAGAGGGAGAAGCAGGCTTCCCAAGGGGAGCCTGATGTGGGGCTTGATCCCAGGACCCTGGGATCATCACCTGAGCCAAAGGCAGACACTCAACTGACTGAGCCACCCAGGCGCCCCTACATCCTTCAGGATTTAAAGAGAGGACAGGACATCACCTCTCCTCTCCATCCACCTGAGCCCCTCTGCTGCCATGCCACTCCTTCACCCCCCACGGAGATACCATGGCATTCAAGCAGCCCTCCTTTCCTTCCTGCTTCACTGAGATCCTGTCCCAGACCACATGCTTCATTGAATCTTCACAGCCACCCCATGTGGTAGAAAACTGAGGCTCAGGGGGGTTAAGAGACTGGCCCAAGATTGCATAGATCCATGTGTCACCAACCAGCAATACTCAAAAGGGAGGCATGACCAGGACAAGCCACTGGTTGTGAGAGGCAGGGGCTGGGGTGGGGTGGGGGGTGCAGAAGGTGATTTTTGAGGACTGAGATCTCCTCACAGCCATCTGTTGGAGGCAACAGAAACCCAAGCTATAGGAATTATAGGAGTGAGTCCCGGAATCCCCACCCCTGAAGAGGGAAGCTGCAAAATCTTGATGCCTTCCTCACATTGGGGGAGGGGTCCCACTCTGCTCCCACCTGCAGCCCATCAGCTTTCCCCAGGAAGCATAGAGGAAACACGGTGATGTTAGCAGCTCAGACTCAGATATAACTTCCTTTCTCTCCAAGAATGGCCCAGCCCAGCATGCCCACCAGCCTGGCTGCCTACCTGATGTCCTGCATCCTGGAGCAGCCTGGAGGTGAGCCTCATGGCCCTGGCCATGCTAGGAGTTGGCTGGGTGAAGCCATCAGATTCACAGTAACCTATTCGAAGGAGCTGGTTACTGGAGTACACCTGTGGGCAAGAGGGGCTGGGTGGGGCTCTCAGAGGAGAATGGGTCTCTTCAAGAGCCAGACCGGGACCTTGGGCCACAGCTGTGGCCTACACCTTGGGCCCGGGAGAATCTACAGAAACTCCCCAAGACCCACTTGGAGCCTCTCTATATACTTCCATGCTCTGGGTCCTCTGGAGAAACCCCTGGAAGGATTAATGGATAGGCAAATGATTGGGTGGATGACGTGGATAGGTAGATAGATAATAGATTCATGAATGAGTAGGTGGCCATATGTATGACATGGTGAATGGGTAGGTGGGCAGAGGGTTGAATGGATAGATGGGTGGGTGGAATGGATGGTTGGAATTGAGTTGGGGTGGGGGGACAGGTAAGTAAGTAAGTAGTTGAATAGACACAAAGACCTTTAAGTTAAAAAATAGCCAGGAGAGGATGGAGATGGAGAAATTAGTAGAGGCAAGTAATGGATGACAGAAAATGATCACAGGTTGATTGTATTCAGACATGTGTAGAGATCAGATGAGTGGACATCAACTGAGTGGTAGACAGAGACTCTCTCTATGGAGAGGGTTCTAGAGCAGATAAGGCTGGATTCAAAGCCCAACTCTGCCAGTTACTAGCTCTGTGATCATAGGCAAGTCACTTCATTTCCCCTCAGTTTCCTTCCCTGTAAATGAGAAGCACAATGCTCATTCTGTAGAGTGAGTATTAGGATGAACTACAAAGAGCCTGAACATAGTAGATTCCAATAATTGTCATTGAATAAACTAATGCGTAAATGAAGCCCGCCAAAGCTGGCAGGGCCTGGAGCAATCTTCTGGTCCAACCTCTTTACCACACCCCTGGGGAGCCTGGGGCCTACGAAGAGATGGGACTTGGCCAAGGTTACCTAGAGGACCAGAAGCCCAGCTTAACCAGATACCAGACATGCTGAGTGTCATGTCTGTGTCATGTCTGGAGCCCCTCTCTGGGGGACAATGTTAGCTACAGTGCCAAGCAGCTGAGAGGCCAAAGCAGCTGGTGTCCAGCAGGGATGGGAGGTGAATATGACTGATCATGTGGGCTTCTTGGTCACTGTACCTTGGGCTGGGGGAGGTGATCTTCACAGAAGATAGTCAGATGGTAGACAGGTCAATGAGGAAGGAAAGGAGGGGAGAGGTGGGAGCCCTCCAGAGCCAGCTCACCTCCTCCCTGAAGGGCATAAAAGGCACGGTGGGATCCAGCCGGTGCATGTCTTCACTTAGCAGTGCTCGCAAACACAGCACCAGGCTCTCCACATCCCGGGCCATGGGGCCAGCCACTGTAGTCACTGAACAGAAACGAGGCAGATTCCTCTCATCTTTTCTGCTCCTGGGGATCCCCACTGCCTGGCCTCAGAGGGTGGGGCCCGGGGCCATGATCAGGTCACAGTGTCCTGGGGCCGGGGACAGGGAGAGTCGGCACACTGGGAAAGCAGCTTAGGTGCCTGACAGGAGAATCTCAGCTGGGGCAGAGCGTCAAGAGACAAGTAGGAGAGATTAAAGCTGGGTTGTAAGAAGCACTTCTCACGGGACTTGGGGGAGGCCGGCTGGGATCCATGCTGTTCCTTCGGATTGCTTTATCACCAGTGGGGCAAGTCTGTGTGAGATAGGGCTGAGCGCAATGTCCTTGGGAGCGAGGAAGGCTGACGGGTGGTCTCTGGATGGGTGTGGCCACAGGCACAGCAGGTTGCTTATCAGATTTCTCTCCCTTGACAGCAACTGCAACTCCGGAGTAGCTGCAAAACCCCGCCCCCACCCAGAGCCCAGCTCAGCGCTTGAAGGAACGGCCGGCCAAGCACTCCCCCAGGCCCCAGCACCAGCAAGAGGAGTTGCTTTAACCTTGCTGTGACCCCTAGTACCCACAGCATCAAGTCTAGCCTCTATGATGGCTTTCAAGGCTCTGCAGTATCAACTCCTTCCCCAGCGTCCCCTTCTAGCCCTTCCACACACACATACTGCTCCGGGCAAAGAAAGCTGCTCACAGGTTACAGCCTTCTAGACTCTACACCATCTCTGCATACCCATCCTTCAAAGCCACCTTCAGATTCTGCCTCTTCCAGGAAGCCTTCCCTTCCCTTGCCCTGCCTCTGAAAGTTTAAAGTCTAGGCTTTTAAGAAATCTCTGTTGAAGAAAAGGTCAGCTTCATCCTGTGAATTTCCATAAGCTTTGACCCTCTCCTAGAGCCCCATCACTTTCTGACTCAGCCGTTTGCATGTCTAATAGCACAACAGGGGCAGGGACCGGGTCTGAGACTGTTCTGTGTCCCCAGCGCACGGGCTACCACAGTGCAGGTACTTGGGGAGGAGGGCCTGAAAGATGGGTGGATAAAGGAACAGAGACAGATAGGGATGGACAGATAGACGGCTAAATGAACAGATGATGGGGAGATAAATGGATGAGTGAGTGAACTAACGAACGGAAGGAGGAATGTATATGAATTTGCCAAGGGCTGGGATGTTTGTCCTTTTTTTTAATCGATATATCCCCAGTTCCTAGTACGGTACTAGTCACAGAGTAAACACTCAATAAATATCTGTTAGATAAATTAAATGGTAGATAAATAGTGAAATTAATTGATGGCTAGAGACTGGGATGATGACTGCATAAGTGGATGAATGGACAAAGAATGGATAGATGGAAAAATGGATAGACCAATGAACGACTAAGGGAACAGGTAGGTCGATGGATAGATGTAAAGATGAATGAATTCATGAACAAATAAATTAATGAGTGTGTGGAAGGCCTTTTCTCCTGCCACCTATACCAGACATGGTGTGCTGATCTGGAACTGAAGCAGGAGCTATTTGAAGCCCACCTACAGTTAGCCGCTTCCCTGAGTACTGAGGTGAGTGGATAAGAGTTGATGTACCAATAGGCCTCTGTTCCCCTAGGCTGGGCTGAGTCTCCCCCTCCCCCCATCACCAGCACCAAGTACCTGAGGCGGTATCCGGTGGTCCTCAAGCCACAGACACCACAAAAGCTGGCTGGTATGCGGATGCTGCCCCCACTGTCGGTCCCCATGCCCAGGATGGAACCCCGTTGTGCCAGCATGACTCCCTCACCCCCTGAGGAGCCCCCACGTGTCTTCTTCAAATTCAGAGGGTACAGGGTCTGTCCGCAGATGGGGTTGCTGCAATAAAAGCTGACGGGAGCAAAAGAAAAGGAGCTGGGAGGTGAAAGTCTCCCCTAAGAGACTGACCCCCTCAGGAGTCAACCCCAGGCCCACTTTGGCTCCCCAGCTCCTCCCCAGGGCTGAGCCCTCCCAGTCTCCCTTACGGCTGAGGTGAGGGCCCACTGCTGCAGGGAAGACCAAGAGTGGACACCAGCCACAGCTCCTAACTTAAGGGCAGGAGCCCCCAGCCCTGCTGTCAGAACAGGTTCCTCACAAAAGTAGGTACACTAAATGCCAAGGGAGAGGAGAGAAAAGCTGGGATAAACACAGAGATGAAACTCTTCAGAACCTCAGAGCCTGAGGGCCTGTAGAGACTATGAAGTCCACCCACACATTACAAGACGAGGGAGCCAAGGCTCAGAGGGCAGAAAAGACATGCCCAAGAACCTCGGTCCGCACCTCACCCCTCCACCCTGAGCCAGGACTTTAAGTTGCTGTCAGTCCTGGGCCCAGCCCCAAACCCAGCCCCTCCTACCCACTTCAGAGACCTGAACAGCGTCTGTGGGATGTTGGTCTTTTTTTTTTCTTTTTTTCTTTTTTTTTTTTTTTTTTTTTTTTAATAGAGAGGCAGGCAAAGAGAGAGAGAGAGGGAAGCAGGCTCCCTGCTAAGCAGAGAGCCCAACGCGGGACTCAATCCCAGGACCCCGAGATCATGACCTGAGCCGAAGGCAGCGGCTTAACCCACTGAGCCACTCAGGCGCCCCGTGGGATGTTGGTCTTAACGAAGGGAATAGCTTCCTGAGCCTTGAGCACTTCCACAATGACCCCGTCCTTGGCTGCTGGCTTCTCCAGGAACTGGGCCAGGCCGCACGTAGAGTCATGGCCCTGCAAGGAAGTGACATTAAGGCCAGGCCCTAGGGATCAGAATGCAACTTCCCAGAGAACAGACTCTCCTCACTCTGCTCCCATTCCACGCATCGTCACAGCCTCTGAAATGTGTGGACACTGCACCTTTAGGAGGATTCATGAGCAGCAGGAGAACGTGGTGGGCCAGAGGCAGACGCCTGGGTTCAGATCCCAGCTGGCCACTTTCTAATTGTGGACCTTCGATAACAGAACTCGCCCAATGTCCCACACTCAGATGCTCACGGGCTCAATGATGTAGGGGCACACGCACACACGTGTACACATGTGAACATACGCCTCACAGCCCACCTTGCAGTCATAGGTGTCCTTCAGGCTGATGGGGACCCCATAGAGGAGGCCCCTCTCAGTCTTCTGGAGCTTCTTCAATGCCTGCAGTTGCTCCTCACACTCGCCCAGGAAATCCGTGAGGCAGTTTACCTCCTTATGTACCTTCAGTGCCTGAGCGACATTGAGGGAGACCAAACATGGAGCACTCAGTCACCCACCATCCTGACCCAGAGCAGAATAGTAATGGCGGGTGACTGTGGCATGCGTTCCCTCCCACGTCAGCCATAGTGCCACAATGATATACCCATCCCCCACCTCCTGTGAGGAGGACAAAGGGTGAGAACCCCCACTCCCCTCCAGAGCCAACCGCCACCTCCTCTAAGTAGCTACAGAGGACGCTCTCCAGACTGAGCTCGTCATCCTGCAGCTTCTGGGCCAGCCTCTCCAGGGGCAGCTCCAGGATGGCCTTGGGGTCCAGGGAGGGCTCCTGTGGAGAAGGAGGGCAGAGGTCAATGACTGATTCACTCCAGTCCACTCGCACATGCTCAACATCATATCCCCACACAGTTGCACACCCATCCATGTGCCCAGCCTGTGCCCCTGGACTCGCCCTTGGTATGAAGAACATTTCCTGAGCAGGCTCCAGATTGGCATGAGAGTCCTACATGGCAGATGTTCCCTCTGTCTCTGCCTCCCCAGTGCCCAGCCTGAGGCCTGGCACAGAGGAAGGCCTCCCCCATCGTGTTGCTACCAGAAGGGGCACAACGGCAGTGGGAGTGATTCTAGCTGCACGTTTTGGGACCCGGGGGTTATGGAAGTGGGCTTCATCTCTGTATGGTTTGCCTTTGTGGGGGGGCACCCCGACATCCCACCTTTCCTTCCTATCCAGCCTTCTCACTCCTGGTGATCTGACTTGGGGATGATCCAGCCTGAGGGGCAGGAGAGCCAGGACCCAGCCTTGACCACACTCTCTGCTGGTCAGCTGGCTCCCTTCCCTCCCGTGACCAGCATCCCTCCAAAGAACAAAGGACTAGAAGCCAATCAGGAGTTACCCAGCTGCTCTGAGCCCACTTCTTCAGGGTATGAGGCGAGGCCTGACACCAGCCCCCTCAGGACTCTTGTCAGAGGCAAGTGGTGGCATGACAAGGGCCTAGCACCAGCAAGCACTCAGGAAGGTGAAGTTGTCTTCCTTTGTGGCGCCGGGCCCCAGCTGAGACTCTGATGCCTGCAAGCCGGAGTTGGGGGCTGGGTGGGAAGACAGCACAATGGTCCTTCCTTGGTCCTGGAGGGGTGGGGTGCCAGACAAGGGAATTTCCCTGGGAGGTTTGGGGTTCCCAGTCTTCTTGGTTGTCAAATCTGGATTTTTCTTAAATCCCCATCTTGCAGTCCTTGGTAGCATCTGACTCTCAGACACTTTCCTGCTGGAAACTCTCTATGCCCTCAACTCTCCTGGCTTCCTTCTGGCCCAGGCAGCTCCTTCTCAACCTCTCCTCTCTTCCCTTCTATAAATAAATGTTGATGCTCCTCAGAACTTGGACTCCTCTCTGCCTACTGCCCACCCTCCCTGGGTGACCTCAGCCACCAGACGTGTCCCAAGGATGCCCAGATTTCCCTGTGTCTACAGCCCAGGCCTATTTCCTGCCATGCCTCAGACCCATTTACTGACCCACATATCCACAGATACCCCAGGTCTGACTGTTTGTCAAACCCGTTCTTCTTCATGAAATTTCCAATCGATGATACTCACGTCACCACAGCAATAATCCTCAGAATCATCCTGGATCACTTCCTCACGTCCCAGCTCCAAAGACAGTCATGATAGCTTATCTCAATCGTACGGAACATGTGTTCTAACCCTTACTGAGTTGCAGGCTATATTCCAAGCATTTTACGTATATGAGCTCATGTCACTCCTTACAACAACCTGAGGAGGTGGGGCATATTGCTTTCTCTTTTTTTACAGTAGGAAAAGACACTGTGGCCCAGAAAGCTCTTTGCCCAAAGACACTTGGCTCATTGAGTGGCAGAACCTGGATCTACATGAGATAGTCTGGCCCCAGTGACCATTCTCTTACCCACATGTGTCACTGTTAGGTGGTTCTGCCTCCTTCATATCTCCCGTCTCTGACTCTCCAGACTCCTTCTTGCCTAGAACATTCTCTTCTTGTCTCTCAGTGTTCTCAGCAGCCTCCTCACTGGCCTCCCTGCCTCTGGTATCTACAGCTCCAGTCCAACCTCTTCACTACAGCCTAGGTGATCCTATTCAGATAAAACCCATAGGTCCCAAGTGCCCTCAGAATAAAGTTGCAAAACCATTGTCCTCAGAGTGGTTTTCAGGGCTTTCGCCGTAAACATGTAAAGTCCATTTGCGTAAAGATACACCAAGATGCACGTATACCAAGTACTTCCTTGTGGGCCGGGAGCCGTGTTAAGCAATCTGCCTGCACATTAAATCCTCATGAAAACCTTTGGATCAGTGCTTTTATTATCATTATCTCCACTTCACCAGTAAGGGCAACTTGGCCGCAGAGAGGCTAACTCTCTAGCCCAAAGTCATAAAAATGGAGAGACTTAAACCTAAGTTGTCTCTCCCCTCACCGCTACCCTCAAATGGCTCTTAGGGAGGGAGGCCTTTTCCAATGAAGCACTTCCTGGGTGCCCAGCACTGTTCTAGGCCCTTTCCCCGCTGGGTGCTGGGAGGCCCATTTCACCAGCCTTCTCTCTCTCTGCCCCATTCCCATATTCTGCTGTTCTAGCCATGCTGCCCAGGCCCTTGACTTGCTGTGCCATTTTGCCACCTTAGTGCCCCAGCGAGGAACTCCCCTCCTGTATGCCACAAGGACTTTCAGAAGGGCCCAGACATGGATCCTTCTAGAATACAGTGGGCATTTGGCTAGAAGGCACCGCAATGGCTGTGTTGTGGCTAAAATGAAATCCTTCTGAGTCACTTACCAAAAAGCCACTCCCACAAGCGCCCCACCACCCCCAGCGGCCCTAGCCCCTGCCATGGGACTCTGCCCTCTCTTCACAGTCCAGCAGGTAAAAGATTAATGCTCAGCCCAACAGGGACACTCTAGGCACAGCCCCTGATTCGCTCAAGGACTGTGAAGAGCCAGTCTGTGTTCATCCCTCACCCTGCTCACCCCAGCCCTAAGGAGACCCAGCAAGCCCCACCAGGGACCATCCCAGCACATGCTGACCCACAGGTGCCCACCAAGCCTGCATGTCAGCCCCTGATTCCTACATGTCTACCTGGAGAGATGACATCCCTATGGGCAAGTGCCCACTGTCCAGCTGGACCCCTGAGGCTACCGCTCCCCTGCAGTTGTCTTCACATGGCCGCTTGTAAAAATGGAAGCCTCTCAGGGAGCTGGGGAGAGGTGGGGAGAACGGGCAGAGGGAGCTACTGGGGGCCACTGGAGGTGGCTGCTGGGACCACTCCTCTGCCAACATGGCGGGCATTCCAGGGACTTGACAGGATGGACGGGGCTTCCGAGGGCCTGGCAATACATTCACCCACCCAGCTGAGTGTCCCTTGCACCTAATAGAACAAACTCATCGAAATTCACTAAACACCTGCCCAGCAAGGACAACATTCGTTCTGTTATTACTGAAGTCAGACCTCTGGCATAGAAAGTACTTGCTGTGTACACCACCATAACCATTAGGAACTCAAGTGAGTACTATAGTTCTAATCATCACACCCCATTGTAGAGATGAGGACGTTAAGGCATGGAGGAGTTTTTTTTTTAAGTAGAGGAGTCAGGGGTCCCTGGGTGGCACAGTCGGTTGGACGACTGACTTGGTTTTGGCTCATGCGGTGATCTCAAGCTCATGAGATCCAGTGTCAGGCTCTGTGCTCAGCACGGAGTCTCCTTGTGACCCTCTCTCCCTCTCCCCTCTCCCTCTGCCTCTTCCCCCCTGTGCACACTTTCTCTCTCTCTCTTTCTCTCTCAAATAAATAAATCCTTAAAATAAATAAAATAATATGTACAGATCGGAGTCAGGATTCAAACACAGTCCCGCCTTCTCTCAACTACCACACTCCTATTTGTCCTGTTACACAACTTCTCAGGAGGCTCATAAGATTGAGAGAGCTGTAATTTATTTTTTTAAGATTTATTTATTTATGGGGCGCCTGAGTGGCTCAGTTGTTAAACGTCTGCCTTACGCTCAGGTCATGGTCCCAGGGTCCTGGAATGGAGTTCCACAAGCTCCCTGCTCAGCAGGAGGTCTGTTTCTCCCTCTCCCACTCCTTCTGCCTATGTTCCCTCTCTCACTGTGTCTCTCTCTGTCAAATAAATAAGCAAAATCTTTAAAAATATATTTATTTATTTGAGACAGAGAGAGAGCAAGGGGAAGGGGCAGAGGGAGAAACTGTCTCAGGCAGACTCTGGGCTGAGAGCAGAGCCTGACACGGGGCTCAATCTCACAAACCCTAAGGTTTCATGACCTGAACCAAAACCAAGAGTTGGAGATTTAACCAACTGAGTCACCCAGATGCCCCGAGATTGCTGTAATTTATTTTGACATTCTAAAGATTTTATTTATTTGACAGAGAGAGATAGAGAGAGAGCAAGGGCGGCGGCAGACAGAGGCAGAGGGAGAAGCAGAAAAGAGGCAGACTCCCCCCTGAGCAGGGAGCCCGATGTGGGACTTGATCCCAGGACCCTGAGATCATGACCTGAGCTGAAGGCAGACGCTCAACCGACTGAGCCACCCAGGCTCCCCTTATGATGACATTCTAATAACAATGTTTATGACTTAGTTGACAATAGAGATGTTCGATTATATAGAATCTCGGCGTTAGAATGGCTGGAGGACTATGAGTACAATTGCTACATGTTTGGCAGAAGTCAAGAAAGGACTCAATTCCAAGAAGTGCCCACCCCCTCTTGCCACGTCCCATGGCTCTATGGCCCCATCTGGCCTTTTCCACACTCACTGGTGCTGCCTCCTATGATGGTTTAAAAGTCAAAGAAAATATATTTTAGAGTTTTAGTTAATTGATGTATTACCAGTATTTCTAAAGCAGTTGTGAAATATGTTTAATATTGTCGAAACTTCCAATGGTCGGAAGGCTAATGTCCCCCTGAGGTGACCAGAGCTTCCTAGTCAGCAGCCTGCTGCCATGAGTGGCTTGTCCATTTACCCCAGTGGACTACGAGTATTATTTTCTACATGCTCTACAGAAACACTGCCTTATCTCAGGCTTTTCTCTCTCCGGTATTGCCTTTCCTCTTCCTTCCTCCTTTTGGAAAACTCCTGCACATCCTGTAAGGCTCAGCTCCAACACCACCTCTCCGTGAAGACTTCCCCACCCCACCCTCTGCAGATGGCCCAAAGCCCTTCCTCCCAGGTCCCATAGCTCCCCAAGCATTTGGCCCTCACCACACTCAGCTGAGCTGCCTCCCGTCACAGTTTGCATAGCTCTGTTCCCACCATGATACAATACATTCAGACCAGAAGCATCTTTAAGGCAGGTCAAAGTCAGGTGTCAGATTCATTTTGATTATGAATCTGTCCCCAGGGTCCAGCAAAAGGCAAGACCCAGAGGAAACCTCCATCAGATTTTGCTAAGCTGAACTGAACTGGATTTGTTTGAATCCTGCCAGGATTTGGCCTATGTCTCAGCCTCCTACCTCCCTGGGATGTAAAGCTGGACACCTGAGGCCTTGAGGGTATCCTTGGCAGGGGGAAGGTGCCCATGAGGACCTGTGTAGCTTCATTGGGGAAAGAGTAAGGTACTGAAAGCCAAGAGGTCTGTAGCCTTGGGGGAAAGCTGGAAACACCAGGGGGGACCTCCCCCCAAAACCCTTCCACTCCTCCAGTCAACCAGACCCACACACCCCCACCAGGTACTCAGCCCAAGAGCTCTACATACCAGACGTCCACACATACACCAAGCACGCCCAGACCAACACAGAAGCAGATGTCCTCACACATCAGACACCCGACCACACAGGTACATGCTCCACCAAACATTCAGACCCAAACCTCAGACCCAAACCAGCCACCCATAGCTAGATGTACACATTCCCATCAGTAACACAACACATACATACCCACCCAGGCACACGCACCGCAAGCCCATAACCAAACACAAGCAGCACGCACCCAGGCACACCACTCAACCAACACATCATCAAAGCCAGCAGGAGACACCCACAAGCAGGTTCTGGTGTGTGCAGTAAGGGAACCCAAATCCACCACAGTGCACGCACACGTACATGCATGTTCACATGCACACACACACGGGAATCTTCTCCATCACACTGATTCACCACAGCAACCCCATTAGCCCAGATTTCTTGCTCACCAACCAGGGAGGGGCAGCTGCTCTCGGGGGGCAGATTGATTTATCCAACTAATTAGCCCCAATTAATATTAATACACATTCTCAGGAACTGCAGCAGCTCGGGCAGAGAAGCTGCCCCTTGGGGCCATCAATCACCATCCAGAGGACGACAGAGGACACTCAGGAACTCCAGAGCATGGGGATAGCTCCTCAGGCACTGGCCCCAACCCCCACTCCCAGGGCTCCCAGGGAGTCCACCACTATCAGCCACAGTTGGGGACCCTAAGATGCCATGAGCTCACCCCTCGCAGGGTAGTTGGGGAGCCCAGGAAGGGGCTGTCACGTCTTCCAGACCCCACAGCGGACCCCAAGCACAAGGAAAGGTGGACTGCCTCTCCTTCCCACCTTGCTCTCTGCTACTCTAGGCAGGTTCTGCGGTGACACCCATGGCTCAGTCCCTTCACCTTCAAGTCCCAGCCCAGCCACGGTGATTGTTCCAGTGCCGTGAAATATCCCTACCTAAGCTGTCAAAAGTCCCTTTTAAGACACAGAGCTTCCTGGAAGGACCGTAATTCCCGTGACCGCCCTGTGCTTTGCATCTATGAGCTGTTCTCAAACATTCGCAGAACCCGGGGGCAGGGGGATGGGATGGAGAACATGTAGTCCAGGGTTCCTGTGTCAGTGGGGTGTGGGGGTACTCAGGGGCTGGAAAGAGACCTGAAGGAAGACCTCCTGCCTCCAATTGCTTCCATCAGTTTATCTTATTTCAACAAAAAGCTCACCCACATTACTAACTCACGTGCGGGTGCTGGGAGGACAAAGAAAACGCACGGCCCCCAAACTCAATGGGTTCCAAGTACACGGATGGAGGAGGAACTGACAGCAGCACAAAGAGCCAGCATGGGGAGAGCTGGGGGTGGGGGACTGGCCCCCTCCTGCCCCAGGCTCCTTGTCTTCTGAAGGGGACGGGACAATAGTCCTGAGGTGGGATCCTCCCCAGCCCTCCTCTTAAGATGGAGGGCTGGGGAGCCTCCGGGATAGGTGTCCACTCACTTGCTGCCAGAGACGCTCGGCCAGAGCCTCCATCTGCTGCAGGGCCACTGCCCTACGCTTCTGTGCCCTGGAGATCTTGTTCCTCGCGGGAGCACGCAGCCAGCAGAGCCGGGCGGCCCCCAGCAGGGCCAACAGGAGGAGCACCATCAGCCAAGCCATGCCAGGCATTATGGAACCTGCGCGGGTAGAGCCCCCTGCTTCCTTGAGAGCCCTGCTGGCTCGTCCACCCGCAGCTATATGCTCCAGCACCCTCCCACTGTGGGCCCATCAAGGAGCAAAAGCCACACATGACCCTGCACACAGCAGAATCCAAGCCCCTCCCCACTAGTGCTTAGCCCTAGGTGGACTTCCTGGGGCCAAAAGCCACTGGCCACGCAGAGGAAGAGGCTTGGGCAGAGACAAGCCTGGAGAGGAGCCCAAGCTTGCAGCTGGGGAGGTGACCAGGCTCTGATCAGACCTCCCCACACCCTTCTCCCCGATCCCGCCCCTCAAACACCCCACCAGCACCCCTGATCTGACCCACAGCAGTTCCTAATGGAGCTGTCCCTGGGGTTTCCCGTTCCTTCCAGAGTAATTGCCCACCCCCTGAACACAGTTCACAGGCTGTATTGAGGTGGACTGAATAGGTTCACTCTGGAGGGCATCTGGGGTCGGGGCAGAGAAGCAAGCAGGGACCCCTGGGAGGCTCTGAAGGCATCAGCCTCAGGTGAGATGATGCCAGGAAGTGAGAATCGAGGTGGGCAGGCAGAGTCCTAACGCTGGCCTCTGTTACCCTCGCTGGGCTCTCATTCCTGACTGTAACACAAGGCCACATCCGTTATCCTGGGAGTCCAGACTCCCCAGTCGACTGGTTCTCCCTTCCAGACTCATTTCCCATCGCCTCCTTGTTCCAGGAGCTCCTGGTAGGCAGGGGGTTGGGGGGAGAGTGGTGGAGAGAAATATGGGGCTGTGGAGGTGAGGAGGCACCAGTGGTTTCCCAGAGGAGGGGCAGAAATAATGGGAAGTTATGGGGCTGCAGAGCAGGAGGGACTCATTTGGGAGCCCTCTGGCTCTTGCTGGATCTTCTGGCCCAGCCAGAAGGGGAGAGAGGAGTGGCTGCCCAGGAGAGTGATGGCCCCGCCCTTGAGACTGCAAAGTTGGAAGCAGAATTGGGGGGAAGGAGATGTTTGTGGTTGGTAATGTTGAGTCTGAGCTCCCAAGGGTTGCCCAGGGCCAGACGTGGAGTTGGCAGTTGGCCTATTGGTCATGACCTAAAGGGTAACCCCAGGTGATGAACGGGTCTCAGGAACTAAACCCTGACATTGGCAAACTCCCCAGGTCCTTCTTCCTCCTTTCGGACTATTTCCTTCCCCCATACCAAGGCCTCCCTCGCTGAACCCTGGCTCTCCCTGATGGCTCAGCTCCCCTAGTTCATCTGGCACCCACACCCTTGACAGCACCTTAATCGTGATCCCTCAAGTTGCACCCCTCCATTAGCACATCACCCCATTTTATTTCTTCATTGCTCTTATTAGCTGAAATCACCTTGTTTACTTATTCCTTACCTCCCTCCCTAGAAATTAAGTTCGATAAGCAAGGACCTTGTCAGCCCTTTTCCTCTGTCCCCTGTCACAGAGCAGGTGCTTGGTAGTACTCCTTAAATGGAGGAACGATGGGCAGGCTGAGTTCTTCATTCCCACCTTTTCTTCTCTGTGTTTCTGCTGCCTCCATCCTAACATGCTTAAGTCTCTCTCATTTAAAAAAAAAAAAAAAAAAAAAAAAAGACGGAGCACCTGGGCAACTCAATTAGTTAAGTATCCAAGGCTTGATTTCAGCTCAGCTCATGATCTCAGGGTGGTGATCTCAGGATTGTGAGATTAAATCCCATGTCCGGCTCTGCACTGGGCCTGGAGTCAGACTGGGATTCTCTCTCTCCCTCTGCTCCCCCAATTTCCCCACTCACTCTCTCAAAAAAAACAAAAACAAAACCACAAGCCTTCACTAGGTACCTACTGAGTACCAGGCACTGTGGTGGGTGCTGGACACACAAGAGCAAACCCCGACCCCAAATGGCCTCCCCTGACGAAGGCAGCCAGGGTTAGCGCTCCCAAATCAGGGGGTGGGAAACTTGGGGAGGCAGCAGCCCAGGAGGGCTGGCAGGCTCCGGACGTGGTATTGCACGAGTCTGTTAGAGGTGTGGCAGGTCAGATTGCTCCAGTGGGTGGCCTGGAATGACACACCCCAGGGTCTTTCCTTGGCCCTGATCCGATCAATACATTTATTGGTGAGTTAGATGAAGCTAAAGGGGTCTAGTGCTCAGACTTGTGGATGCACAAGTGAGAGGCAGAGCAGAAGGAGTGGCCCACGGAGCCAGGATGCCAAAGGTTCTCAGTAGGCTGAAGCCCTGGGATGATCCTAGAAGATGTGGCTCAACAGGGATAAAGAGCAGCTATTTTCACAGTGTCCTAAATTCCAATGATCACAACCCCAGGGAGAGGAAGGGAGGGTAGATAGGGACATGAGAGGACCTCCTAGAGATACACACTAGCAGAGGAGCACCATGAATGGAACTTGCTTCTGTGGAATGGAACAGTGTTTGTGGTCCCAAGCCCAGAACCTGGTTGACCTGGGATGTCAAGGGTGTGTTCTTGGGATGACGGTACAAGAGGAAAGCGGATACTAAGTTTGGCTTCGTGGCTTCAAATCTCCGTGCAAGTCTTTGGCCTTGAACAAATTAGCAACCATTTCTGAACTTGTTTCCCCACCTATAAAATGGAAGTAATAAGGCCCATTTTTTTCCCATGGGATAATGGGCTAGCAACTCCAGAGGCTAACAGATGTTGGACTTTATTATGAAGACATGGCCCCAGGTCTGGAATATGGACAGAAACACAAAGAAGCCCTTTTCACACAGCCTGCCAGAGGGCAGACTACCTTCTCCTTGGATAAGTGGGAGGTCTGTAGGTGCAGATGTGAGGAAGAGCAAGTACAGTGAGCAAAAGCAAACTGTGTGGGGCTGGGAGCTGTGCACACTGTCCCAAGCACCCCCCAAGGACCACACTGGGATGTGGGCACTTGGGAAGGGGCAGAGACCAGAGTGCTCAGCCGCCTGGTAGGGAAAGGAAAGGCCTCGGGGTCAGAACCAGGAGTCTGACAGAACACAAATGATGCTAAATGTTTCAGGCATGATCAGAATGGCTTTTAGAAAGGTCACCCAACTCCGATCGGAAGGACAGTTGGAGAAGAGCAGTCTGGAGCGGAGTGTTCCAAGTAGAGGGGCACCAGTGTGACACAAAGGCTCTGTAGCAGGGACCACCAGCTGGAGAAGATCCAGAAACGGAAAGGTGTTCATGTGGCTGGAGTACAAGGAATGAGAGGAAGAGACACGCTAGAGGAGGCTGGAGAGGTAAGCAAGGGCCATGGCCCACAGAGCCTTGCAAGACACAGGAGGAGACTGGTCTTTATTCTGGGTGGGATGGGAAACCATTAGGTCTTGAGACAAGTGACTTGATCTGATTTACACTTTCAAAGCATCCCTCTGGCAACTGCACGGGAAATGGGCTGGGGAACAGGTGTGGAGGGAGGCAGGGAAGCCCAGTTAGGTTACTGTGTTGTCCAGGGGACAGTCAGGTGGCGTGAACTAGAATGCTAGCATAGCAATGGAAACAGGACGCAGCGGCTGCTTCCTGGCCACAGCGACCACCTCCCCCACCCCTTGGCAGCATTTGTCCCTTTGTATAACCTTTCCCCAAGCCCTGATCTCCCAGGGAGCAGATGTGTTCGTGTTAATGGCTAACCATCCCCATACGTCCCTGAGCCTCTCAAGGTTGGGAGTCTGGCTTGGTAGAGCTCCAGCACCACTGAGCCCAGGGTTGGTTGAGGCCACACTGGGGCTCAAAGGGTGAAGCAGTGAAGCAGTGAAGGGAAGAGGACAGGCACCCCCATCTTACAGCCTTGTGTCTAAGAGCACAAGGATAGTGGAGCACCTGGGTGGTTCAGTCAGTTAAGCGTCTGACCCTTGATTTCAGCTCAGGTCATGATCTCAAGGTCTTGAGATCCAGCCCTCTGCACCATCCCCCACCCCGCCCCTGCTGTTGGGATCCCTGCTCGGTGGGGAGCCTGCCTGAGGATTCTCTCTCTCTCCCTCTGCCCAACACCCCCCCCCCCCGCTCATGCATGTGTTCTCTCTACAATAAGTAATCTTTTTAAGATTTTTATTTCTTTATGGGGTGGGAGGAAGCATGAGTGGGAGGGAAGGGACAGAGGGAGAAGGAGAAGCAGACTCCTCGCTGAGCAAGGAGCCAGACTCTGGGCTCAATCCCAGGACTCTGGGATCATGACCTGAGCCAAAGGCAGACGTTTAACTGACTGAGCCACCCAGCTGCTCCCATCACCAATAAATAAATCTTTTTAAAATTAAAAAAAAAAAAAAGCACAAGGATATCAAAGAGAGAAATGGGGCAGGAGTAAGAGGCTTGGTGAGGGGGGGGAGGTGGGTACAGATGATTCTAGGGAATGATATGAGGCAAAATGACACAGTAGTTACAAGGAATCTGGGCAGGGCCCAACAACCTGGCCATCCCGATCTAGGTGCCCGTGTAAGTTAGGCCCTCTGATCAGCCCTTGCGTCTACCCTGAAACTGGTCCTACTAAGGCAGGGACACCACCGTCTGACAGTGCAGTAGCCACTGGGCACGTAACCTGGTAGGAATAGCCCCTCTGAAGGAGTAGGAGAGTCAGGAAGGAGAAGGAAGCCTTGGGAAGGCAAGGTGCCCTGAAAAGAATCTGAAAAGCGCCAGATAGAAACGGGCACGTGCCTGACCCGAGGGCTCAGGCTCAGAAACATCTTCTGCAGTAAACAGGGGAGATAGGGCTGGGGCCAGGGGAGAGTAAGTTCTGCTTAAGGGGGCCAAGATGTTCCCAGATTAGTCACAGACTAGCCACCCTCCCACCCGCCAGTCAATGCAGTCGTGTAGGAGGGAGGTTGACAGATAGGGCAGAGGTGAGACTCTGAGCAGAGACCACTCACTTCCATCCCAACTGTCAATTCCCAAACCACTTCTCTCCCTACCCCTGGACCATGGCCTAGCTCAGGCTCCATGCCCCCTTCCCCAGACTAGGATCATGGACATGGAGCAGCCTCCTTGACCCTCTCCAGGCTCTGATTGCCCAATCTACTCTCTTCACTG